TTGTCCGAGCAGAGCAGCCTGCAGGATGGCTTAGCAGGCAGGGATAGATGGGAGCCTGAGCACCGTCCCTCCCTCGGCTGGTAGAAGGAAATACAGGATGCTCACAGAGGAAAGTGAGTAGGATTTAGCCCTCCTATGGGTAGTTATGTACCAGTGTTAGAGGCAGCTCCATCACTAACTGCATAATATATGGTATATGGAAGACACAGCTGTTTGGGGAAGGTTTGTCAGCTGAACTGGCGAATCTTCATCTACAAATCAAGGGTGATGGGCCCTAGCTAAGCGCTTACAAGGCCTTTGCTGGGCTTTTTCCACTTCTGCCCAAAGCAGCCAAGAAGAGCGGATGCTCATGTGGTCTGTGTCAGCAGGGAGAAGGCGCTCCTGTTGCTTTTTGCCCCAAAGACCATGGCTCTGCTCTTTCTGAGCTCTGCTCTTTCAGAACCCCTCTTCTCCACACAGGCAAGCAACCAGGAGATTTGTCTGTTGTTTCCAGCAGAAGGAGACCCAGGCAGAGACTCAGGCATCTTCTCCTGTCTCTCCCTCTCTGCCCTTCCAAGTAGGCAGGAGGAAGCTGTCGCTGGAAAGGCGAACCAGCCCCATAGCATGTTGGCTCAACAGAGCTGGCGTGAACAGACTTCCTAGTTAAGGTTGAAAATAGATATTGCCTGAGAACTGGTGGGATATTAGCTGAGGCAAAAGGAGGACGTTTAGCTGCTTGGCTGCGATATGTGAGGGTAACAGCTCTTGGGACAGCAGAGCAGGATAAATGGGCTCAGCTCTGGTGGAGCCAATACAGCTACAGCAAGCAAGAGCATGCGATAGTGTGGAACTGTTAGGCCTGGCACGTTTAGTTAGAGAAAGCCATCCAGGGATGGTGTGTGTTATGCAGGTCACATAACATCCAGGGTTATGTTATCTCCAGGTGTGGACCACTTTATTTACCTCACCTCTCTGCTCTCACACTGCAAACAATGCTGCCATGTTAGTCAGAAGCCCTGCGTGACCCAGTCGGAGAGGAGGACAATGAGATGAAGACTCAGGAAGCAGGAATTCTTTTTCAGCCCACTTCACTCCCTGCACTTTTAAAATTTATTTTTAATTCTTCCGGCCCCGGGGGTGCACTCCCGCAGCTTGGAGAGCCCGCACAAAGCCTGTCACCACTGAGTCCTGCTGGGAATTGCATGGCTGGTTGCTGGAAGGCAGTGAAGACTTCTGGGTGTGAGTGATTCCTGGATGAGCCTTGTAAGCACATAGACTTTTTTTCTCTGTTCCCCTTTGTATCTCCCAAGAGCTGAATGGCAAACTGGAGGAGAGGGCTGAGCTATGCATAGAGGGAGGGGTGATAGTTGCTGTCAAGCTGTAAAAGGGAAGGGGAGAAAGGATATGCTGGTCCCCTGAGTTGAACACTGTGCATGGAACTATTGATCTAGCACCTGGAGTTATTGCTCTCTCTGCAGTAAATCGGACAAGAGTCCTGTGCTAACACTGCAGCGTGATGGACCTCACAGCTGCATGTGGGAAAAGGAGTGAGGGCAACAGTGGTGGTAAGAACAGCAGAAGGAGGAGAAAGAGAAAGGGTCGCTTTATGGTGTTGAGTCACGGTGTTGTCCAGACAAGGTATGAGAGCAGAATGGGCAGGATTAGAGCAGGCAGGAGAGTGATCAGGAAGAAATCTCACTTCTTTGAGCGTCACCAGCTACGAGACTATCAGGTCACGCTACCTGCAAGCTCTGGGAACTGACTTAGCAAAACTGAAACAGAGACACAGAGAGAGAGTAGAGAGGGGGGAAATCATGATGTTGACTCTCCAGATAGGCTGTAAAATTGAAGTTATGAAAATAGTGAAGCATGGCAGAGGGCCACTGAGTTATGTCACATCTCCACAACTGGAGTGTGGATTGTGACTCTCACTCTCTTGCCTGCTCTAATATGCTGGGAGTGTCTTATCTACTATGTAAAATCAATATGTATTTATGATCAGGTATGTGAGATAGGGAAGAAGAATGACAGGCAAATACAGATACATAACTTTTGCTTAAGCCACTGTAGCACAGGTGTTGTTAGTGGCTTGCTATGCCTTTCTCATTTTAGCATGGGCTAATAAAAAACGACTGAGGAGTAATCAAGTATATGAAATGTGTTTTTTACAGAGATGATTTCGTCTGTCAGATGGTTGCAACTGCACAATAACTAACTTAATCTCTCTCAGCAGCTCCTTGAAGGCTGAGTGCTGCTGCTGGCCAAGTATTGTGTTGTCCAGACATTTTGCATTTTATCCCATTTAAGGCATGTTTTGTATCAGGGATAATTTTTATGAGCATCCCTTTTCTACACTTACCTAACTGAATTCCATGCCCTGTGATGTGTCTGAATAAATGCCGTGCTGCTGCATGTTGTCTCAGCACCAGTGGGTGCTATAGTTACGGGTATATCCCAGCATCTGTTTCCCCTAATAAGCAAACGTTCAAGAGGTAGGTGATGAAGGGCTGTATCCCGAAACTGGAGCAATGCAAGCCAAGTGCTGCACTGAGTGGCACCCCTTTCACTCAATCCAGCTTTGAATGTGTTTAGAATGAAGGGCTCTGTGTGGCTAGGAAGTAGTTTCTGTTGAGTACAAACGAGAGGAAACATCAAAGAGGTTTGCGGGATCAGGAGCCCGTTCTTGCAGTCGTTGTTGTTAGATTGTTTTTAAGTGAGTTGATCTGTGCAGTCTTTTAAAACTGAAAGCCAAGTTTAGGTGCAGTCCCGAGCCAAATCTGTAATCTTGCCATAGTTGGTGCAAATTATGCTAACAGAAGTTAGTCGCAGAGCACAGCTGAGTCTTAGACGCCACAAGTTTGTTTAATGAAAAGGCATTATCCACATGCATCAGGCAAGCTAAATGTAGTTTACTGGTGCACTTATGGTCCTGGCATCACCTGTGGTTGTCATGGGGAATGTTTGAAATTCAGGTGAGCACTTACAGCCCTGTAGGAGCTCAGAGCTCTTCCCAGGGAGTTTATGCTGTGGCTCTGAGATGCGCTCACTTGAAGAGACAGGCTGGTGAGCAGACAGTGCACAGCAGTCCTTGGTGAGGAAATTTTTGGCTAAAGATGTGAGTTATCCAGGTCATAGAATGTATTCGGCTAATTTGCTTGTAATATCTTTGGCAAAGACTTGGGGATGTGCACACGTGCATAGATCCACATGTGCTTTCCATCTCCTCCTGTGTGGAAGCAGGCACCGCTCCTGTTTTTCCTGTGTAGGATCTGTGATCTATTCTGGTAGCTGCATAGTGCAGTACTGCCTACAGTAAATATTCACAGATTTCCTTGTGAGCTGATGTATGGTAGTTTTTTTTCTCTTCTCTCCTGTGTGAGAGAATACACAAAAGCATGTCTTGTACCTGCTTTTACCCTGTGGGATCTGCGTAATCAGGTCCATGGGTTTTAATGGATTTCAACTCCCTTCTGTCTACACATAGAGTTTCCTGTCTCGTTTTGAGCAGGAAGAGCTGAGTCCTTTTTGGTCTTAGCATTCCTGTTTTTTGAGAAGAGTTCTCTGGCTATTTTCCTGTTTGATTTTTTGTGTGTGTTTTGTTTTAAGCAGGACAGAGTGCATGTGTGTATGTAATCCATGTGCTCAATTAAGAGAGGCATCTGTTGGGTTTATTTCACATTGCCGAGGAAGGACTGCAAGCAGGGAGCATCTGCTCGGCTTTTTGTCAATGGCTTGTTTTTCATAATTTGCTCTACAGGGTGAATGTTTGGGGAGGGGGAGGAGGCTTTTTATTTCTGAGTTTCATCTTAAATTTATTTTAATGGTAGCCAGGGAAATTGATTGGGATTGGAAAGTTAATTTTACTAAGAGAAGAACTGAAGAGGGAGAAACAAAACCACCCAAAGTAAATAGCATTTATGTAACCTTAATAACACACTCAGAAGGACCCTTATTAACCATTATTTGCAGTGCTTTAAAGACAAAGTCAAAATGTATTCGTTATAGCGCTTTCATAATGGTTGTGTTTTTTACAAAAAAAACTAGCAAGTTTTGGTTAATTTTGTTTTGGGGAAAGATAGGAAAGACATCCAAAACTAAGATGCTTTTTTGGCATTTTGTCAACAAGAAAAAGGCCTGGTTTTAAAATAGAGCAGCAGTGGTTTCCTGTTCTTACAGTTTTTGCTTTTGTGCATTCGGATGTCGGCTGTATTGCACCTAGTTGATCTAGTGAGAGATTTAATTGTCTGTAAATGCATGCATTTCAAGGGCTACTAAAGCTGTTGGGAGTATTTCATGTAAGTTTGTTTTTTCCACTTCTTGTGGAAGCCTCCTCCAGAAGGGCTGTGGAGGATAATGACTTTGTTATACCCTGGGAGGTCAGTGCTGGTAGGGAATGCGGGAGAAGGCCTGAAACTCCCCCTAGTACTGCAAGGGAGGGCCAAATCTTACCCACCCTGATCAAACAAACAGTAATATGATTTTGCAAGCGTAGATGGAGATGCTGTGCAAGAATAACCCAAGCAGGGAAAATTTCGGTCTTCCTGTAAGTACTTAAAGAAATGGGATTAAAAAAAAATGAGAAATCTTGTCCTATGAGTGAACCCCCAGCCAAGCCATTTATTAAGCTGCTTTGAAAAGATATTAGACCTGTATCTTCATGCCACAAGTTGTCATGGAAGAGTGAAGGATGAATTAATAAAAATAGCTTTTCTGACAGTTCAATCCCACTCCAAACTGAGAGAGTACGTATGTATATATTATTTAAATATTATATAACGCAATATAAATATGTATAACTTTTCTGTCAGATGAATGTCACTTAGCTGAACAACTTTGTTGACATCAGTTAATGGTTATGAAAGCAGCCTACAGCAGGTTGGTTTGCAAAATGCAAATATAGGGCTGATAACAGTGAGCAGACAGACAAGCTCACATCTGAAGCTTCAAGTAAACCTAGGCTGTCACAGAGTCATGGAACCTCAACTGTAGAAGGACAAACCACAATAAACTTCATAGTAGCAGGAAAGTATTTTCATTGTTTGAAAAAAAAATAAAATTCAAACTTTGTCATCACATTAAAAACATTACATGAGAAGTAATAAACATATTTACACTTCTGTTTTGATTATAAATATACATTATATACAAAATAATGTTATAAAACGTAGAAAGTTCAGTGCTTCTGATTTTTTTAAATTACTGAAATACTAGACTTCAAAATAAACTACAGACAGACAAACTAAAACCCATATTATTGATTTCTGAAGGTCATCTTCAAAATGGTCCTACATGGTCAGAGCAGAAGGTCAGTAGTGGACATTATGAAAGGGCCTTGTCTGCACAGTCCAAAGCAGTAGATTGGCTAGTCCAATGACAGGCTTTACAAGGGCAGGACTATCACTGTCTGAGAGATAGCACGATCCAGGTTTCTTTGAAGTGATCTTCTTTCCTCCCTCCTCATTCTGCCGCATCCCAAAGTCTCATCTTATTATAGTGTCACAGCACTTTCCACTGAGGTGTCAATATTATTCTGTAAATATGTATGTAAGAAAATAGTTTAGGTATGCCTCTTAGTTTCCAGGGGCACACTTCCCCCTTTCCCTATAGCAGTGGGTGGGTAGTTATGAAAGAAAGGGGACACACCTAGAACCTTCTCACTCTAATCTCCACCTGTTTCGGCAGAGGGCTTCTCAGTGGATGCTTCTCTATTGGACATTTGGAACAACAGAAGTGGGAATTTGACAATGAGACAGAGCAATTGGGGGGGGGGTGACAGTATTTCTTCTTCAGAAAGTAACAGCTGTGACTTTGAGACTACTTGCAGTAGAAGGTGGCATAAAACCCCAAATCTGTGCAAGAAGTAAGGGAGGGAGAGAGAATGAGGGAGGAGAAGAAAAATATAATTTCTATTCACAATCACTGGTAGTGCAAAGGGCATGAAAACCGCTGAGACAGCTCAGCCCATATAGGTTCTAGAAGCTGATTGATTTTAAACGCATTTGTAAGGCTGGGATTATGTCTCTCCTCATAACAGGGAAGAGGCAGTAGACATTCCTTATCACACCTTTCCCTTCTCAGGGGTTTAAATCCATGACAATCCTGTCCCATATCGTGGCTTGGGTCAATCAGTTCTCCAAAGCATCACCAAATGAGATGAAATGTAAATTCTGTATCCCTCTTTCCTTCCTCCTCTCACCCTTAAACTGTCTCCAATACATGCAGCAGGAGAGAGGAGATGCAAATAGATGTATAGCAGGAAGTGTCAATCACTCCTGCCCAATACTGTTCAGGTAACTGCAAACAGAGCAGTCAAGTGTCTGTTTGGGCTCAAGATTCTCTTGACACATTTTAGGCACTTTTAAACCCAGAAAAAAAAATGGAGATCTCATGTATTCTGTATCCGTTATCTGCATAGCAATGTGTCTTTCTTCACATCTTCCGTCGCAACATCTGTGAAAGTTCAGTGTCTCCTCCTCTACTGGCACCTCCCATAACCAGAGTTCTGGAAAGCCACGGGTCTGTCCATGAGGAACTGGCCTCAATATCTTTAAAAATGTTATTGTTTTGATACATTTTTAAACCCCTTTCTCTTCCCTCTGCCTCCCCTTTTCTATAGCCAATGAGATTTCTGGTATCAAACTTCAAACAAGGGCAGTTAGAACAAAAAGGTGTATTGCATCTTTCGGTAAATTCACAGTCTGTCCAGTTCACCCAGTTCCATCCTCCGCCTGAGAGCAGCAAGTTGCATGTAATTAAAACAGTCCAATCCAGTTCTGAATTGTAAACAATGCAGCAGGAACGTCCATCTACTGGCATTACCAAATCTGAGGTGCAAACGGACTGATCCTCAGTCTTATACCTGTCAGGACGTAAAATAATACAAGGAATGAGAAGGAAGCACAATGTACACAGTACTGCAGAGTTACAAATTATAAATCAATATGTCAAGTCAAAGTAACTTAAGCCAAACACTCCTGCAGCCTAACTATCAGTATTCAAAGTTTTTGATTGGGACCAGAGATAGAAAATCGCTAGCAAACAACTCTTCTGTATGACAAGTAGCCTCTCGACCTGATGTGAGGGAAAGAATATTTAGGATAAAACTTATAAATCTGATGCTTAACATGAAGTCTCCATAACAGGCATATGGTATAGCTAAATAGCTTGTGTTCAAAAGCATCAAGCCTGACTGATGTTGAGAGAAGTAACCCTGAAAATAAGAATACTTCTTGAGGTGCCTGATGTAAACCTGGGAGTCTGGCTTTGGTCAGTAAGATCTTCAAAGGAACAGATGGTATTTAGGTTAGTTAATGGAAATTAAGCGTCTAACTGTCATTTGTATCTTTGAAAAATTCTTTCAGTTAGTCTTAAACTGTTAATATTGCTGGTTGACTTGTATTCCAGCTTGCCTTTAAGCAGAAATCTGATATCCACCCTGGCAAGGGAGACAGATTCCTGCGGATCTGCTTTCACAGATCACTCCTATATAGTACAGCAAGCTCCTCTTTCCTGGAGCCTGAAACTACCTGAAACCTGTCCTAAAGATAGCTACACTGGAAGAGACAATCAAAAAAGGAGCAAACTCAGGTCTTTCTTAGAATCAGAGGGTATTAGCTGATATTAAATTGCATTTAAACTCAGAGGGAGCTTTTCTGACTGGGTCAGTAATTCTTCAGGAAGTACTCAGTTCCTCAGTAGCTGCTTTTAAAAGTCTTAGGATTGTTCACTGCTAGGCCTTTCCTAGAAAATCTGTTTTTCTGTATTGTCCCCTAACCTTTCATAATACCATCAAAATCTTGACATGTTTATCAGTACCACAAGAAGTACTGGTAATTTCTGTTGGAACCACAAACACACAGCTGGAGCTTAAAGGCCAAGAGGTTGAACTTCCTTCCATGTCTTATTATGGACTCCCTAAATGGTTGTAATGCTTATCCATTAGCTCATGCAGTTACTGTCCATCTTCTGCTGGAAATCTACAGATTGACCTCTTTCCACAGGACACAGATTATCTGTTTTAGTCATGGGGAAAACCCTGGCTTTACATCTATGGGTCTATAAACTCGTACTGTTCCTATTTTTGCTGACTACCTATTTAAGAGGAAATAATCCTACGCTGCACTGAATTTTTATAGGCTGATGTTCAGTGCTTTCATCTCCACTGACTTACTAAGCTCAAAACCTCTGGTTTAATAAAATCAGAGCTGCTAATTTATTTTCCTTGCTTTGGCACTCCTGTGCACCACAGAAGAGGAGAGGTGAACGTTGGAAAGTATCTGTGATCCCTGGAAATAGAGTTACCTTCTAAGATGTAATTCTAAATGATAGTTTGCCCTCTTTGTGAATTCACGTCCCTCCACGAATGTTTGTAAGGAGCTATGCACTTACCTCTGTGGCTATGATGCACTCGTTCCTTTCTTCTGTTATCACAAAGACAGATTGGTACATTGAATCCCTTGGAGAGCATATCGCTGATATCCTACATTCTGGCTTTTCACTAAGGCAGGGCAGAGAGAAAAGAACGTTACTGGACTTCAGACATGCCTGACTCCAGGAATCTTCTATGAACATAGAGGAGTGAAATGAGATAGCCATGAAGGCAGGGGAGGGGAGGCCAGAGGATGAAGTTTCACATATTCTATAGGATGGACATTACACTAGAAAAGTGGAAGTAAGGAATAGGTAGTATCTTGCTATGCTACTTGCTAGCTATACTGCTATGCAGTATCTGGCATGTCCAGTCTAATAAATCTACTCCTCAGATCCCTCAGGATAGCAGAGCCACAAGCAGAACTCAGACAAGACTTTCAGTACACAGATAAGACTGATGAGCCAGTGGATACCTGCCTTTTTTGACAACAGTAGTTATTTTTATTCTATCCCTCTCTCAGTAAGTAGCTCACTTTGCCTTCTTAATAACTGAAATACTTATTTGTAATGCCTGTACGGCATACTGTTGTGGTCTCTCCATGATCTACTGGGGCAAGGAAAGACACTTCTTAGTCTCACCGCTGGGCTAGCCACCCTTATTCACCCATACTAGCAGCACCCTGCACAAACACTCAATTCAATTGTTTGACTTAGCCAGGAATACCACTTGGCTATACATGCATGTGCATACTCCACTATGAAGATTCCTAGCTTTGTTCTTGTTTGTTTTGGATTTTATCTTCCTGAATCAATCCTTTTTTCATATTTTCTCATATGTTTCTAGACATGTATGAAGATGAGGGGGCTTACAGAAGACTACAAGGAAGACTGCATTCTCACCTGTGTAGTCGGAGGGGAGATTTTTCTCCTAGACACTTTTCACTTTTGTAATATTTATCCTCCTGTGTCCCTCTACTTGTCAGGTCTTTTACCAGATTATAGTCCAGTTTATGATTCTTGGGTTTGTAGTTTGATTTTTCCAGCCCACAGTCCACTTCGAGGTCTTTATTTTTATTGGTGTTTTTGAGCTGTGAAGCTGGAATGAGATTGTCCTTCTGGAAGTCAGATAGGTTGTTCATTGTCTCCAGCTCCTGCTCTGGGTGCATCCTCATCTGCCTGATGACCATTGCTATCATGCAGAACAGTATGAGCAAAGCCACCAGCCCCACCCCCATGGATATAGCAATCCAGGGGATTGGTTTAGGAGGAAGTGTAACAGGCACGGTATAAACGGGTAGCTCACAACGGTTGCCCATGAAGCCAGAAGGACAGTAGCAGACAAAGTTGGCACTATAAAGTCCGCTGTAGCATGTGCCTCCATTCTCACATGGCCCAGAAGCACATTCATCTCTGGTTTTGATGTCGCAGTTCCTGCCAGTATAGCCTGGCAAGCATGTGCAGGTGTAGTCGTTGATCAGGTCATGGCAAGTTCCCCCGTTGGAACATGGGCTCCTGGCACAATCGTTGATGTTTATCTCACATTTCTGACCAGAGAAACCAGCCCGACAACGACACACACGAATCTGACCCAGGTAAAAGCAATTGCCACCTGGGGGAAAAAAGTAAAATAATAAAAAAATCAGTCTGCGATGCACTTCACTCTGAGACCTAAACCTCTCCCTGGTAAGCATATTTTACTGCCTCAAGAAGAGGGAGATTATTTTACAAAACAATCAAATGCATCTGCAAGTTCTTTCCAGCTTGCCTAATTATATCACTGTGACTTTAAAAGATGCCCCTTCCAAATATGTAATAAAGTTAATTTAATCTACATAACCCTGCCATCTCTTCCATTCCATGGAAGTCTTGTGCATTTTTATTGCATAGAAAATGCCAGTGAAAGCCCCTCAAGAGAGCAAAATTAGGGTAGATGTGGAATACAGTGGGGAAGAGGGACTAACATATTATAGGAATAGTAGAGGTCAGATTGGATTTCTATCACTTCTGCACTGAAAAGCACAAACAAGTCGGAGGCATGAGATTTTTGGATAAAAAGACTTACCATTTGCACATGGGTTGCTTGTGCACCGATCTACTTTTTTTTCACAGTTTGACCCTGTGAAGCCTAAAGGGCAAAGGCAAGTGTAGCTAGCCCCTTGTTCTTTTTCCAAGCATGTGCCGCCGTTAAAACATGGAGAATCTATACATGTCAAAGCACTGTGCTCACAGTGAGTTCCATAGTATCCAGGGGGGCACAGGCAGTGATAACCATTCTCCATATCCTGCAAAACACAACATGAGACCACTGTTATTTGATGTCACCAAGTAACAGAAACATGCTTGCATGTTTCTTTTTGGTCAACAGTGTGTGCTGTTCTACCCCTTCTCATTCACGCTCCGATATGGCCAAAGCAACATTTGCAAAGAAAATATCTGTGTGCTTGACTGTAAGGGATGTAGCCACGAATGGGCCATATTCAGCATACAGGAGTCATCATGTACCTACATAACAGAGCAGATGCAGTACAGGCAAGTAGGCAAAACAGTAATACCGCTACTGTCTAATGGGATCCCCAAGGTCCCTCTAGAGTAGAACGGCGTGTATAAACCTACACAGCTGTAATCTGGCCATATATCCTCTACATGCCAGCCCTTTTTTTTTAAGGGCTGATTTTCTTTGCCATGGAAAAGCCTCACCACTTAGATCACAACAAAACCCTCTGTTCTTTCCGGGTACAGTACGTCCAAAGCGTTGGGAGAAGAGAGCTAGGGTCTTGCATCATTAGCTTTAATCGAAACGTGCATCGTATTACATTTGATGTCTGTAATCTACCAATCTTTTATCAACAGGCAGAATTAATCACTGAATGCGTCTGAAAAATACACTGAAACACTAGACTGCAGAAAACTAAAAAAGCAGAACCCTGCTTCACAGAAAATGTTTCAGCTCACAGAGTGGAAAGCAGATGCTTTCTTTTATTTACTCTTAAAATGCAGATTTAGTGCATTTCTGTAGGCACCTCAGTTTGGGAAGCTTTTTTTTTTTTTTTTTTTTTTTAAAACAGCTCTACTCCCTCACCAACCTTAGCTCTTGCCAAGATCTCATAATGGCTGCCACAGAAACCTAAGGATCAGTTGACTAGTTCCGATCTAGATGATACATCTCCTCCTGTAACAGGCTTCCTCTGCTGACACCTCTAGGGAAGGGTTCAGTATGATAGTGGTGAGCATCAGTAATGAACCTGTGTACTATCAAATTCCCATTACGTTGTTACAAAAACATTCTGAAAAGGTATACTTGGGCTTGCTTCTCACAAAGATTTTACATTTAAAATGTCCTTACCGTGCAACTACCACCATTCCTACAAGGGTTGCTGTCACACTCGCTGATCTCATGTTCGCAATCAACACCAGTAAAGCCAGGTTTGCATGAACATGTGTAACTGCCTTGGCCAGTGTTCATGCAAGTTGCTCCATTTTTGCATGGTCTGTGATGAGTGCAATAATTCAGATCTGCAAAGATACCAAAATGTTAGAGAAAAGTCTTTTGACAGCTGGGAAAAGACATTCATTTCTCAAGGCTTGAAGAGCACAGAAAGTAGAAGCAAAAATGCTTTAGTCAGCAAAAAGGACAGAATTTTCAATAAGAAGTCCTTTCATTTTCCTGTCAATAGGAATATTGGCGATTATTATTCAGATTAGCAATAATAATCAGATTTTTCAGTTTTTTATTAGTTTTGTTTTTTCCTCTATGGCCACCACAGCAACACAGTAACCTCTGAATTGTGGGAGACCTGGCAAACTTCTAAGTCTATTAGTGTTGTAGTATACTCTCCCTTTTTGTGTGCGTAAATCCATTAGCTGTAATGGGATTTAGATGCCCACTTATCAAGTTGGAAAATGTACTTCCTAAGTGTACATTCTCTGAAAGGCACTCCATGGCCTTAGAAACACTTAGTGCATAGCATGTCACATTAAAAGAGTAAGCCCCATCTTTAAAAAGTGTGCTCCAAAGCATGTTCTGGGGAAGTTGGGAGGAAATAAAAAGAAAACTGTTTAGGCTTGGAGATTTAAACAAACATTAGAAACCTTTTATTGTTTATTTACGATGCTCTCTTGTTATGAATGTTAGTAGTTTAAACAGTCGAAATGCTCTGCCAAGCTTGATAGTGCTTTTTTTCCTTTAAATTTGAGACAGAGGTTAAGCACACAAGTTCATAGGACATAAGCAGAAAATCTTTATAAGCACTATAAATACCACAGTAAGTGGAATACAACTGGTTAATAGATAACTACAAGCAGAAAAAAATCTGCAACTTTACTTTTCCTGCTTATTCAGACTTCCCCGTCTTAATCCTATAACTGTCTTAAAAACACTTAACTTGGTTTGAGTACTTAATGCTCTCAGTGCCAGCAGCGCATATATGGCCTTGAGGACATGACTGCTCAGCTGGCTAGAGTTCAGTGATTCAGTGGGTTGAATAGGTGGAAGTGGTCTGGTGTACCTTAAAATGGAACCTGTACTTTTCATTCTTGCTTACATGATTTTTCTCTCATGCTCTAGACTTATCACATGAGTTAACTTCCTTGTATGCAAAATAAGGAAGGCCCAAATGATAGTGTTTACTGCTGCTGGAAACTGTTTAGTAAACTGTTATAGTTGTACAGGGAATAAGTTAAACTTAGCTTGAGCAGGCAGAAAACTTGCCTTTTCAACACTTTGTCCCTTTTTTTTTTTCCAAGAAAAAAATGCAACTACCAAAAAAAGGTTTGCTTGTTTTCAGCTAAAATTACTAAAAATGTAAGAATTTTTGTCTAAGAAAGCCTTGGTACAAACTGATGCCTATAAACATATACCTTCGGGAGATTTAGTTCTAGATCCTATCCAACAGATTCCTTAGTCCAGTACCAAGGAATACCCAGTCTAGAGGCGTAAGCACAACCTTCGGAACTAACCTTGATCACAGAAGAGGCCACCCCATCCTTCATCACATATGCACTGCCATTGTGTTTTACAAGTCCCGTGGCGGCAGCCTATATGTGGAATGCATTCATCACAGTAGCGGCCTTGCCAACCGGGACGACAGCTAAAAGAAAAGTCAAATTAAAACATTAATGACACAGAAGAGAGCTGAAGTTTCTATTACAAGGTGACATTTTAACTGAAGTTCAGATTGCAATTGCCATCTACTTACATGCACTCCCCAGGTTTGTTACAGTATCCATTCTGTTCAGTACATCCAGACAGACAAATGGCTGTGAAGAGAACATAAAAAAGCAGAAATGTTTAGGTAAATACGTGTGGCAGTACAGAATACAGTTTTAAAAGGGGAAATGCCTGCATTTGAAAAGGTACTTTGAAAACCTGTTTTGCTTTTTCAAAGCTTTGTTTTAAAAATTCTCCGTACGGGGAGTTCTGGAGCAGGAGGAAGTGAACAAGGAGAGCCAACATTTGACAAGGTGTCCTTTAGTTTTTTCTGTTTACACAACAAACATGAACTCCTGCAGCTCTTGCTGGAAAAGGAGCAAGATGAGGCAGCTGTGCCTGTGCTAATGAAAGCCTGAAAAACCCAAAAGGAGGAGCCTGAGCCTATGCTAAAAATTCCCACTACTACACTGCAGCACCTGTCCATCTCCTCTGGCAGTAGAAATGGTGGAAGCATTTGTGTGGGCAAGCTGCTAACATTTTAACTTGGAATAGATACCACTGATTCAGGGATATCAGCCAAGACCCTTTCTCTGCTAGCTCTCTCTTCATGGCTGCCACTCACGGAGGTGAGGCACAAAAGGAAGGCACTAGTAGTTGCAGCAGAAAGGGCCAAAGTCCTCAGAGTGTGACTTTCCTTCTCCAGGCCCAGAGAAAGGTAGGGAGGAAAACATGGCCCCAGTGGCTACCATGTGACTCCGTACAACGCTCCTTACCAGTGTGGTTGCGGCCACGATATTTTAAGGACAGACAGCAAAGATAGCTAAAACCAGCATCAGGCCTGCTAATACAACTGGAAAAGGGGGCAAGCTTTCAGGTTCTGAGACCTTTCCTCCAATAGCTCCCTGATGTTTTGGGAGCATGCATTTCCTCAAAGACCTCATGAGTTGTATTCCTACCCCTCACTGACTAGCACTTGAATTAGCACAGGTAAGGACCTAAAGAAGCCAAAGTGACATTTTTTAATATGCTGAGCTCAGGTGGTTAGTATGCGACAGAACGAGGCGCAGACTCTCTTTCCGGGAGTTCCTCATCACCTCCATCGAGGCAAGACGCCCGTGTTTTGCCCCTAAGGGCTGGCCCTCCCGCGAGCAAGCAGGCAAGAGGCAGGCCTGCTGCCGGCGGATGCCGGGCACCGT